GGGCGCCGAGTAGGAGGACGCCGTCATGGGCGCCTGGACGGCGTCCTGGCCGCTTGGACGGCGTCCTGGGAGGCTGGACACCGAACTGGACGCCTGGACGCCGACCTGGGCGCCTGGACGGCGTCCGGGGAGGCTGGACGCCGACCTGGGCGCCTGGACGCCGACCTGGGCGTCTGCACGGCGTCTTGGGCACCCGGCCGCCGACCTAGGCGTTTGGACGTCGTCCTGGGTGCTGGAACACCTCTTCTGTGGAAGCCGGTCTGGTGTAGCCGGCGTACGACTGGGCTGGGCGACCAGGCGTGGTTGCCTGGTCAACCAAGTTACCCGGGCGACAAAGTTCTGCGGAGGTGTGCGACAGTCGCCCATGTGGTTTTGGCGTAGCCGACCTCGGTGGTGGTATCCCGAGGTCGACCTGGAGGATCAGGTGCAGACGTGGGCATGTGGTCGACTTGGCGTCTGCGCTGTGCAGGTGACGAGGCACAGCACGCCAATCAACTGCGAGCACATGCGAAGCGGGTGCGCTGCTGTCCTGTGGGTGCAACGCTGTGCAGCCGCCTTGCTGCAGCGTTGGCACGCCGTTGACTTGCAGCGTTGGCAGATCGCGACTTTGCACTGCTGGAGCGTGGTCGACCATGTCGTGCAGGAACGCGGTCGACCGTGCTGCGCTGGCAGTCGACCTGCTTGCATGCTAGCCCGTGATGTAGACAGTGTTGCTTTGCCATTGTGAACCATTGTTCTCAACTTTTGCTAGTGAAACTCTTGCAGTTTTGCCCTGTGAACGCACAAGTGCTAGAGAACGACTAAGTGAACGAACGCAGAGATCCTTCCTACCCCGTGCCTAGCCCGTAGTCTAGCTCCCGTTGATAGAGTAATCTCCGCATGGTGCGGTGAGCATGGAAGGCAAACGACTTACCCCTTCAGTTAGGTCGACGTAGTGGTCACTTACCTAATTCGTGTTTGTAGGCCGGCAGCTGTGCGGTAGTCACTATGGTAAGCGCCGTAGGTAACGCAGGGGTGGTGGACACCTTGGAGGCACGGCTGGAGGACGCGAGGAGACGCCATGAGGCCAACGAGTACGGGCCAAGCCTACCGTTGGTGGTCATCGAGGCAGGCATCCGCTCGGTGTGGGCGGAAGAGCACCCTGCTCGACCAGCTTCTCCTCGGCCGGTGAACAACGAGGACGGCGTCGACTTGGGAGTCAACGCCAGTGGTGACCAAGTCGGCAGCAGCGCGGGAGGCACGTCGAGGCAGCGAGGTGTGATACACGCCGATGAAGTCGGCGGCGTTCAGGGGCGAGGGATGCGGTCGTCGGCGGCTGCAGGCACCTCACAAGGCGACGTTGGAGGTCGACGAAGCAGTCAGTCGCCGATGTCGGCGACCCACGTGACAGCTGGAGGGATTGCACCGAGCTACGGCTACTTCAAGTTTACGCCGGACAGGATCTCGGTCACCCCTCTGCTTGTTGGTCGACCTGATATCCTCATCTGGAAGGAAGCCATCGAGCCCCAACTGGAGATGGCCGGGCTGATCGGCTTCGCCAGGGGCACTGTGGCGACGCCGGATGAACAATACCCCGACTTGCGTGTAGAGTTTCGCGCCGTGCAGTTGCTGACCTTCACGGTCATCTCGCGGTGCTGCTCGTCGGGCGTTCAGATTGCCTTGAAGTCGTGCAGGGAGTACCTCGACGCCGGCCACCGGGCATGGCACTTCATCGAGTCGACGTACCAGGTCACCGACGACCTGTACATCGGCCAGCTTGAGGAGCAGCTATCGCACATACGGATGGGCGAAGAGGAGACGGCGACCGACTTCTGCAACCGGGCTCGGCGAATTCTCGCCACCATGAGGATGGCCGGCGTACACTACTCGACGGCATCGTACCTCACGCACGTTATCAAAGGGCTTACGAGCAACTACAACTTGCTGAAACGACTGCCGTTGGCACCGAGTACTAGGGCGACACTCAACGAGGATTCTCTTACCTCGTACATCCTGCAGGATGAGGTGATGCAGGAAGCTGAGCGGCCCTCGGAGCTCCTGGCGCAGGTGAACTACGTCGCCCCAGTGAAGCAAGGTAGTCGACCTGGGCAGTGTGGGCAGTCTAGCGGCGGTAGTAGCAGTGGCTGGAAGTCGACGAAGGAAGTCGACAAGAAGAAGTCGGCCAAGGATAGCGGTCGTGGAGGTGGAAGTCGACGTCGGGAGTGCTGGCTGTGCGGCGACCCCGACCACCTCTCCTTTGAATGCCCCGACCGCAGTGACTCCGACGACGACGACGCCAAGGGAGGCCGCGGGAGGTCTGGCAGCCGTCGTCCCCGTCGAGGCAGAAACCAGCCGCGCAAGGAGAAGCAGTCGACCAAGTCGTCGACCTCGGCGAAGGACGCCGACTCCTCTGCTGGCGACAAAGGGCAAGACGACAAGGAGGCGTTGTGCTCGCTGGTCGGCGTCGTGGAGCCGACCGTCTCGTTGGCGCCGGAGGCTGGCGAGGACTTCTAGGCGATGGCGGCAGCCGTGCAGGCAAACCCATAAGTAGTCCTGCTCGATAGTGGTTGCTCCCACCATTTGATGGGGACGAAGGAGGTCTTCGTCGACCTGCAGTCGAGCGGTGCTGTGAAGCACGTGCGTGGCTTCAACGGGGCTCTGCAGGACGTCCAGGGTCGGGGCACGGTCGCCTTGCAAGGGAAGGCCGAGAAGCAGGTGCTGATCCCCGACGTGCTCTACGTCCCGGGCGTGCACGCAAACCTGCTGTCGGCTGGCCAGCTGAAGGAGAACGGTGTGAGGCTGCAGGAGGACGGCGACGAGATGCTTCTCGTCTCGGCGGCAGGGGACGTTCTTGGCAGGGCGTCCTACACTTGCCGGGTCCTCTGCACCGACCTGCGTCCTTGCTCGGCGAAGTCGACATCGCCCATGACGGATGTGGTGCCTCTGAGGGCGATAGTCTCGGCGACGAAGTCGACCCCGGACAGGCTGCATGCGAGGCTTGCACACGTCGCCATGGACACCATCCGGAGCTCGGCGAAGCACGAGGTCGCCATTGGGCTGGACCTCAAGTCGGCGTTTGGCGCTGACTCACCGTGTGTCTCGTGCGTCGGCGGGAAGCTGGCACGACACACCTTCCCCGACCAAGGCTCCGACGCCGACGACGTGCTGGCAGTCGTGCACATCGACCTGTGTGGGCCGTTCCGTGTAGCTGCCAAGGACGGCAGCCTTTACTTCTTGCTGCTAAAGGACCGCAAGACCCGCTACGTGTGGGTGAGGCCGGTCGCCAAGAAGTGCGCTGCAGGAGTTCGTGCAGTGGCTGGCAGTTGCTGAGCAACAGACGAAGAAGTCGGTGTTGATGATGCGCTCTTACCGGGGAGGGGAGTTCCTCGGGAAGCAGTTCACCGACTTCGTGAACGGCAAGGGAATCGTCCACGACCTGACCTGCCCCTACACCCCGCAGCAAAACGGCATGGCAGAGCGGGAGATGAGGACGGTAGTGGAGTCGGTGCGGACGATGCTGCTGCACATGGGCGTGCAGCACCACTGGTGGCACCTTGCTCTGCGGCAGGCCGTCTGGGTCCGCAACTGCCTGGAGAGGTCGACGTTGCCGCCGGGTACGACACCATACCAGCTGCTGACCGGGAAGAAGCCCGACTTGTCGCTGGCACGGGTGTGAGGCTGCATGGCGCAGCTCTTGGTCCCCGAGCAGCAGCGAGGTGGGAAGCTGAAGCCGAAGGCCAGGTGGGGCCTTCACCTCGGTGTGTCGGAGGAGAGCAAGGGCTGGGAGCTCCTCGACATCGCTGACAACCGGGTGGTCACCACGTCGGACGTGGTGTTCTACGAGAACATGTCGGTGGAGGTGTGGAAGTCAGAGCACGGGCCGACGTCAGGACGGACGTCGACCACCCCGCCGACGGACACCTCAACGGCGACGCTGCCTCTGCTCGCCGAGGTCGGAAAGCTTGCTGATGAGGACGCCGATGTCGTCCGTCCTCCTTCCCCTCCCCCTCCACCCCCTGCCCCTCCCCTCGTGGCCGACCTGTGTGGGCTGACTACCATGTCGGCCTCCGGCGATGAGGGGAGCAGTGGGGCGTCGCCTGTGGCGCCGGCCAAGAGCATCGCCTGTGGCGCCGGCCAAGAGCATCGCCGGTGGCCGACGTGACGCCCAGCAAGTCGACATGAGAGTGAGGTCGACGCCGGCAGGAGAAGAGCAGGCCGAGGTAAAGCCGGCGGTGGTGAAGTCGGCGAAGGGGGCAGCGGCAAGGAACCAACCGACAGGGGAGCAGGCAGCAGCCAAGTCGACCAAAGAGCAGTCGGCGACAGGGGAGCCGACCACAGGGGAGAAGTCGGCAGGGACGCCGGCTGTGGTGCAGCAGGATGCTGAGGGCAGTGATGCCAGCGAAGAGGAAACCGAGTAGACGGACGCCGAGGAGTCCACCGACAGCAATGTGGTGGAAGTCGGACCACGGAGGACAAGCCGACTTCGGAGGCCGCCTGACTTCTTCGTCCCGGCTGCCTTCACCACGATGTATGACGAGGTCGACGATGACCTGCTGTACGACGACGCCGAGGAGGACGAAGACTTGCCAGAGCTCGACCCCGACATGCACGCCAACCCCGAGCAACGCTGGGACATCTCGACGATGACGGTGAAGGAGGCCTTAGCAAGTTGGAAGGGCAAGGCAGTGAAGGCCGCCATGGAGGAGGAAATCCGCAGCCTCATCAGCATGGGAACCTGGGAGCTGGTCGAACGCCCACCTGGGGTGAACATCATGAAGAACCGGTGGGTGGTGACGACGAAGTACCGCATCGACGACACCGTCGAGCGCGAGAAGGCGAGGCTGGTCATGAAGGGCTTCACACAGGTGTATGGCGCCGACTACGACGAGACGTACGCGCCGGTGAGCAGCTACGTCACTCTGAGGATCTTCCTCAGCATCGTCGCCATGCTCAACCTCAACCTGATGCAGCTCGACATGAAGAACGCCTTCCTGCAGAGCAAGCTCGACCGGGTGCTCTACATGTACCAGCCGGACCACTTCAGTGACGGGACCGGCCGGGTGTGTAAGCTGCTGAAGAGCATGTACGGGCTGAAGCAGTCGCCGATGATGTGGTACAAGGCGCTCAACGACGTTCTGGTCGGCGCCGGGTCGACGAGGCTCTGTACTTCAAGGTCGACAAGGTGGCCTGCTGGGTGCTGGTCTACGTCGACGACCTTCTCGCCGCCAGCAGCAGTGCCGAGATGCTGAAGGAGCTGAAGGAGCTGCTGGAGGCCGCCTTCGAGCTGCGGGAGATCGTGCGCGACAGGTCGGCGAGGAAGCTGTGGCTCCACCAGCAGGGCTATGCAGACAAGCTTCGTAGGCGTTTTCTCGACGAGGAGCAGACTGGGCGCACCCCGAAGACGCCGGTCTCGGTCGACCCCTATGCCGAGCTCACCTTCGAGGACGAAGAGGCACAGGAGCGCCAGGAGGAGGAGTACCGGCAGAAGGTCGGCTCGCTGCAGTTTGCGGCGACAACAACGAGGCCGGATATCGCCTTTGCCTGCAGCAAGCTGGGGAGCGGCCTTACGGTGAGGAGCGACCAGCACTGGCGTGAGGTCGACCACTGCCTCGCCTACCTCGCCAACACCCGTGACACTGCCCTGGAGTTTGGTGGTGGACTTGAGTCGCTAAAGCTGGTCGGCTACGTGGACGCCGACGACGCCGGCGACAAGCAGAACCGGACGAGCACGGGCGGCTACGTGCTCGTCTACGCAGGGGCCGCAGTCTCCTGGTCGAGCCAGCGCATCAAGTGCGCGACACTGTCGTCGACCGAGTCGAAGTACGTGGCAGCAACAGAAGCCGGCAAGGAGGGACGTCGACTTCGTTTTCTTCTTGCAGAATTCCGGCAGCTGGACGTCGGGACGCCGACTGTCCTTCGGGTGGACAAAAAGTCGCCCATCACAGTCGCCGAGGGCATGGGGTTGACGTGCAACCTCAAGCACATGGAACGGCGACAATCCTGGCTGCAACACATGATGAAGCGTGGGAAGTTCTCACTGAGGTACATCCCGACCGCTGAGCAGCCAGCCGACTTCCTGACGAAGGCGCTGCACTACCCGGCCTTCAACCGGTGCTCCGGTGCAATCGGCCAGGTGCGCCTGGTCGACGTGGGCGACGGTGACAACGACGTGCAGCAGTAGGTGCCATGCCCTCTTGCATGGCTGGTGCGGTGACCGGCGTGCTGTGTGTTGTATGCACGCGGACGGGCTATTCTCCGAGTGGTGATGCCGTGTGGGCTCGGGGCCCAAGCGTGAACGCGGCAGGGGAGTGTCAACGGGAGTTGTGGTTGGCCCCGTCCTCGCTTGGGCGGAGCCGAATTCGTAGTCGGGTGTGCGGGGAGCGCAGCCGATCAGTTGCAGTGAGAGCGCCTAGCTGGAGGGCGCCGAGCAGGAGGACGCCGTCATGGGCGCCTGGACGGCGTCCTGGCCGCCTGGACGCCGACCTGGGCGCCTGGACGGCGTCCTGGGAGGCTGGACGGCGTCCTAGGCGCCTGGACGGCGTCCTGGGAGGCTGGACGCCGACCTGGGCGCCTGGACGCCGACCTGGGCGCCTGGACGGCGTCCGGGGAGGCTGGACGCCGACCTGGGCGCCTGGACGCCGACCTGGGCGTCTGCACGGCGTCTTGGGCACCCAGACGCCGACCTAGGCGTCTGGACGTCGACCTGGGTGCTGGAACACCTCTTTTGGGGACGCCGGTCTGGTGTAGCCAGGCGTGGCTGCCTGGTCGACCAAGTTACCCGGGCGACGAAGTTCTGCGGAGGTGTGCGACAGGCGCCCATGTGGTTTTGGCGAAGCCGACCTCGGTGGTGGTATCCCGAGGTCGACCTGGAGGATCAGGTGCAGACGTGGGCATGTGGTCGACTTGGCGTCTGCGCTGTGCAGGTGACGAGGCACAGCACGCCAATCAACTGCGAGCACCTGCGAAGCGGGTGCGCTGCTGTCCTGTGGGTGCAACGCTGTGCAGCCGCCTTGCTGCAGCGTTGGCACGCCGTCGACTTGCAGCGTTGGCAGATCGCGACTTTGCACTGCTGGAGCGCGGTCGACCATGTCGTGCTAGAACGCGGTCGACCGTGCTGCGCTGGCAGTCGACCTGCTTGCATGCTAGCCCGTGATGTAGACAGTGTTGCTTTGCCATTGTGAACCGTTGTTCTCAACTTTTTCTAGTGAAACTCTTGCAGTTTTGCCCTGTGAACGCACAAGTGCTAGAGAACGACTAAGTGAACGAACGCAGATATCCTTCCTACCCCGTGCCTAGCCCGTAGTCTAGCTCCCGTTGATAGAGTAATCTCCGCACTTGCCACGCGACTCCTTGCGGTACATTCCGAGATCATGCGGGAGTTGAGTGAATCCGAGCTCCGTCAGGATGGTGTGCAGGTACTGCTGCCACAGTCGGGGCGCCTGCTTGATTCCATAGAGGGATTTTTTAAGGAGGCAGACCGCGCCGTCGGCGTCGTCGAAGGCATGCGGCTGCTCGACGAAGATGATGGCATCGACGGGAGCGTACAAAAATGCACTTCCGACGTCGATTTGACGGAGCGGGCGCTGTTTAACGGCTGCGATGCAAATGAGCATGCGCACCGAGGTGTGTCTTCCAACGGGCGCGTAGGTGAGGTCGAAATCCACCATGTGGGTTTGCTCGAAGCCGCGTACCACCCATCTCGCCTTGTACTTGTCGATGGAGCCATCTGCAAGTGTTTTGATTCGGAAGACCCATTTTCCGCTGAGAATTTTTCTCCCCTTCGCTGATGATCGTGGAACCAGCTTCCACGTTCCGCGGCTCTTCAGTGCCGCGACTTCCGCTGCCATGGCTGCCTTCCATTTTTCACTGTCGGGGCCAGACAAGGCTTGACGAACGGTGGTAGGTTCCTTGGGGGAGGCGTGGCGAACAGCGACAGCGAGTCCGAGGATGCGGAGACCGGTTTCGTTGGTCTTTTCGTAGTGGATGCGATCGTAGTCGTGAAAACTGGTTACTTTGACGACGTCCTCGTCACTTTCGTTGCCGAGGCGGAGGGTGTCTTGCGAGGAGTTTGGTGGTGGTAACTCGGCATCCGGTGATCGGCGCGCTGCACTGTTGTAGTTGTGGGCTTCACGAGTTGTATCGTCGGGATCGAATTGGTGTACAGGAACGGGCTTGTAAGGGGGATATTGGGTGCGCTGTCAAATTGGGTGACATCTGCTGCATCAGCATCCTCTGCCAGGTCAGCTTCATCGTGTGGAGTTGCGAAGCTGCGGTGTCCCTCAAAAACCCTTTCCGGTGCCTTGTCAGCTTCGCGGTGTTCTTTGAACAGTGGCAGAGTCAGCTTCTCGTAGAAGATGCAGTCACGTGATTTTGTGACTTCGTGTGTCGCGTAGTCCAGCACGATCCACGCCTTGTATTCTTTCTCGATCCCGAGGTGGATGCCCCAGCGTGCCCGGTCAGCAAATTTTCCGGTCCTTGCTGTATGTGGCCTGTACTGTACCATGCAGCCGAACACTCGAAGCAGACGTGTGTCCGCATTTCTGCCCGTCCAAGCCCTGTAGGGAGAGTTGTTGTTGTCGAGGCTTCGGGAGGACAGCAAGTTGTGCAGCCGGACTGCGTGGTTTATCGCGAACGGCCAATATTTGGTTGGCACGGCTGACTGCTTCATCAGGGCCCTCATCCTTGTGGCGAGGCTCCTGTTTTCCCGTTCTGCTACATCTTGCTGCTCATGAGCGTAGGGCAGGGACACCAGGTGCTCAATCCCCTTCTGCTTGAAGAGTTCCTTGAACTCAGTTGAGAAGAACTCCAAACCCTCGTCTGTCTGGTAGGTTTTCACCTTCAGTCCAGATTGGCGTTCAGCCCGCTTCATCCATGCCACGAAACACTCGAAGGCGAGAGAACGGCAGTCGGTGTTGACGGCCCAGACGTGGCGTGTGCACGCGTCGATGAACGTGAGCGTGTAGTACTCGCCATCAAGCCCTTCTTGACTGAGAACCAGGAAGTCGCTGTATACTTTATCGAGCGGCTTGTAGCGTTCGTAGCCGGGAGGTAAGTCGGGGAAGGGTTTGTGGGCGAGTGACGCGGTCGGGCACACGGTGCATGGCGGGTCAGCTGATTCCGCTGTGAGGGAGCCTCCTCGTGGAAGGAGCAGCGCATTGTCGTCAAAGACATCGGCGTGGAGAGAATTCTTGAGCGTGGTGTGTGACGGGTGTCCAAGTCGCTGGTGCCAAGTTTCCGGTTCCGCACGATATCCGACGGTCTTCTGATAATATTTGTGCCTTTCCGCTTCGTCGTTCTGCTTCTTTTCAGGTCCCTTGTCGGCGGCGGCATCGGCGTCTGCTGCGAAGGCTCGAACGGAGTGTCGTTTGAGGAGGGCGTCGGGAATTCCGATGATTTCATCCGTGTCAGCGGCGTGGACTTGCTCGCCGGTGAGGAGGAAATATGAAGATGATGGTGCTGTGGGCCAATCGGAAGCGGGAAGCCCTGTCATGGGGATGCGGAAATAACTGTACTCGTCGCCGATGACCTCAATTTGTTGTGGTCCTTGCTCTGGCGGCGGCGCTTCCTCAGTAGGTTCTGGTAGGTCCACTGCTCCTTCGAAGAACTCGTAAGTTGCTTCTTCTTCTGACTCGTCTTGCACGTGCTCTGGTGTGTCAGGAGCATACTGGTCCGGGAGAGGAGGTCCGCCCCAGCTGGTGCCGCGTGTTGCCCACTATGGGTCGATTTCGGCGACAGGTTCGGGGGGATGGCCCGGAGCTTCTGGGTAACCCCATTCGTTGGGAGCGTTGGAGGTTCCCCAGCCTCCTTCGCTAGTAGCGCCCATTGGCACTGATCCTCATCCTTCTTCTTCTTCCGCTTCTGTTACGGCGGCTCCTGCGTCCCCTCCGATGGTTGTCAGAATATTGAAGGAACGAATGACTGAACTAGCAAACAGGTGGGTACAAGTAGGAAACCTAAAAGTGTTGTACCCAATATGAACTACCCCACTACAGCCTACATAGACTATAGCATATATGTTTGACACACCCCCATAGGCAAAGTGGGGGAGAACAAGAGGTCACAAGACCGGTCAAGAAAGGCAAAGCAAGCTCAGGGTGAATCACGACGTCACCACGCAGTCTGAGCACAAGCAAATGGCCACAATGCCAGTTCACATGCAGAGTTATATAAAGGAGAACAAGCAATACAGTGATCACAACCTAGCAAGTGCAAGCATGCAGGTATATGTATAGAGATCACAGTACAAGTAGAGTCAAAAAGTAAGCAAGTGAGGCACAGTAGGTACAAGGCCTAGAACCGTACAGAAACGCTGATGATCACAAGGCTGAAGCGCCTTGGTGAAGACATCAGCAGTGTTGGCCCGAGTGGCCACGTAAGCAAGACGAAGCTGTCCACGCTGCTGCAACTCTCGAGAAAGGAAGTAGCGCAGAGCGATGTGCTTCGTTCTGTGCTCCAGTCTGTGCTCCTAACACAAGGCAATCATGGCCTTGTTGTCGACGTACAGCACTGGAGGAGAACGAGGCGGCTCTCCCAGGTCGGTCAGCAGGTAGGTGAGCCAGTATAACTCCTGTGCAGCCATGGCCCCTGCGTAGATCTCAGCCACACAACTGGAGCTGAGAACAGAAGACGAGCGGGTAGACCACCAAGAAACAGAGCCGGAGCCAAGGCTGAAGGTGTAACCCTGTGACAACCGCTGCGTAGCCAAGTCGTCAGCCCAGGAAGCGTCTGCGTGACCAGTGAGGACAACTCGAGCCCGTCCTCCAAGCACGAGCCCCATGCCCGACGTACTGCACAAGTAGTGCAACACCCTCTTAGCGGCATCCATGTGCTCCTTCCTGTGTCGGCCAGGAGCGACATAGCGTGCTAGAATGCTAAGAGGGTAGGCAAGGTCAGGTCGAGTGCAGGTCATCAGGTACATGAGGCAGGCCACAAGCTCTGGATACGGGCCACTCGGCTCTACGGACTCGTCCGAAGGTGGAGCTGAGAGCGAGTGACCGGTAGGCAGAGGAGTGGACAGTGGCGAGGAGTACGTGAAGCCGAAGCGCTGAAGGACCTGCTGCACCATGTGTGACTGAGTCAAGGTAATGGTGCGCTGTGCTCTGTCCCGGGTGATCCGCAAGCCAAGATAGCTTGTCAGCTCACCTAGGTCTGTGCACGTGTGTCTCTTCTGCAGCTCGGACT